ATGTACATGCCCCCGAGCCTGTTGATGAATGTATAATAAAGGTTGTTGGGGTCCAGAAAATGACATCAGTGGCTACTTTGTACAACTGCTGGTGCGTTCTCAAAATTGTGTAATCTTGCTTATATGTTTGGGACAACTCCTTTGCCTGATGCATGATGGTTAACATTGTGCTTGGGTCCACTGGCTTAACATCAAGAAGTGGGCTGTAGGCAAGTTTTATTTCAGGTTTAATGATGGCACCACTAGTCCTAACTAACCTAGTATTGTTGCCCCCGAATTATGGTGTCCCTGGTACAGATGTAACACTTCCAATAAATGGTCTAAGATTTAACCCTTATACAACAGGGATGGTCTACTTACACTGTCAACAATGAGTTTCTTTCACATTTTAAACTTGTCATCTAACCCCCCCCCCCCCCTCCCCCTATAAAAGGGTATACATTATAATTTTCTGAAATATTTTAATTCAAATAACCTATGTATCTTACATAAATAGCTTAGTTTGATAGATAGACTCACAGAATCTGCTGATATTATATTTTTCAACGTTTCACAGTAATAACAGTGATATTTTTCATACATATTAATATTGCTGAATACAAGGAAGTCTATATTAATATTTTTTTTTTCTCTTCAAATAAATAGAATACAAGTCTCATATTTTCACATTATCTCTAGCATGGGCTAATTTAAAGTCATGAATAATTTCAGATCACAATTTTGTTTAGTTTGCAAAATATGCTTATTAAACATAGTGACCCCTTAAAAATAGGTGGCGCTAGGGTAACAAATCAAGCATATCTCATTAAATTTGTGATTCTCTGTAATGAAACAAAGTTGACATGTTGTTTAGACTAAATACAGTTCATTTGAATTGGTTAAAGTTTTCAACTCTACCCTTTAAAAAAATTTTTTTGTGAAATGGGCATTTTACTAGGGGCGCCACCTATATAATGCTGTAAAAAATTTTGCCCACCAGTGCCAGTCCGGCACAGTTCTGATTTTGATAGTAATTAACTTATAGATAAAGAAAATACAAAGATACAGCATACATCCTAGAAGGCAACCAAAAGTTTCAATATGCCATTATTCCGCTGGACTAGTAGTTAATTAATCTTGGTTTTAAAACCGAAGCTTTCATTGTGGGCTGTTCTGCCCCACCCATGGGCCATTTTGCCCTACTCTCAACATTATTTTCGAACACTCTGAAAAATCACAGAAAATGTGAAATATAATCCCTTCATAAGATGGAACATGAAAGTTCGCGATGATTGACAGATTAGAAAAACCTCTGCACGGATCAAACTATTATGAGGGCCGTTTTGCCCCATGTTCCCAAAACATTCCTGACTTCAGCAACCAGGACGATATCTGACCCAAGACATGTGGAGCGCTAAAATGTCGGACCCTTTTTCTGGGCCCATCTCAGAGGGAGGGGCGGGCCAGTGCATCTACACAGAATACAGCCATAACTGATTACTACAATGTAGGTGTACTGTATAAAAGTAAACCTTGTAGTTAAAGGTCGCATGATGCAGTGTGACCAGGATCACACTGACCATGGTCAGAATGACCCTAGACATGATGAAATAACTTTTCAGTCCTCTGAAAAGGTCACTGTAAATAGCTTTAAGTAGGAGCATAGGAAAGGTCAATGAACAGAGTCTTTTGAATTTTTCAGAAATGTGCCCAATATATTGCTATAAATGATACAATCTTTAAAATTTTAGAAACTTGTCTGAAAAAATGGCGGTCATAAAAAGGAAGAAAATATCGCATTTACAAATGACATCTATTACACCACACCGTGCGCAGATACTCTCTGATCCCAAAAATGAATGACCGTGGGACGCAGTGCTTTCCTTTGACGCATCATTTAAAGCCCTGCCAACTCGGGGCATGGATGTAAATCTTAAGATTACGTTTCAAAATACAGTGACGAATGGGTCATCTAACATGCAAGTGCATGCTTTTCATAGGAACGAAAGTCCGGCGAAAGCGGAGGAGAAACTGAATTTCGTTTCCTTGTTTCACTCCGTTGCATGGTATATACATTGTTCGCGGTAACGGATCTCTGTGCGAGGTACAAGAAATATGTTCGGAAACAAGGAAATGGTGGTGCGCGACATAAGATTTCACGTTCGCGATATAAGATTCGTGGTTCGAGTGCAAGGAACGTAGTTCGCGGTATCAGAACTGATGTTCGCGTTGTTGGAAGTCTAGGAGGCCTGTAGCTAGGCTCTTCGTTTTTTGTTCGAAACGATGAAGAAATTTAGCCATTATGATTAGATGAATATATTGATTGTTTGAAATTAAAAAATCCAACCAAGCAAGTTTGTCAGTCACTTTTTGTCCCTGAAAATTATGTTTTGCCCCCACCTCCAGGGGGTAGCAGGGGGTCAAAACGACAAAAAATTATTCCAAGAAAAGCTCTCCATACAACATTATATAAAATGATTCAAGAAGTAAATATATTAGAAAGCAGTTTTCGATGTCTTTTGTCCATATTACTAAGTAAAATCAATAATCTAATGATTTAATGTTCAGTGATTAACAATGTTGGTAACATGGAGTTTGAAGATATTTTGTCATAATTATAAGATATTTCAATATTTATTGATGGAAAAAATCAGGAAGAGCGCTCTAGTATGCTTCAATGCGTCCTACTTTCAAATTATAGGAATCATTAGTATTGGAGAAAAAAGTTATTTAACCGGTAAGCTAAGAAGCAAGAGCGGGGGAGGGGATTAAGTATATTGTCCTTAGTTTAAGCACTTCTCTTATTTTTTGTTCAAATCTTGTGATTTTATGAATATATTGGTTGTTTTAAATGAAAAAATCTGCCCGAGCAAATTCATGGGTCACTTTTTGTCCCATAAAATTATGTTTTACCCCCACCCCCAAGGGGTAGCAGGGGGGCAAAGCAAAAAATATATTTTGTGAACAGATTTTCATAATATCACCATGAAATATGTTCAATCAGTTAGAAGATATAACGAAAATTTGTTTTCAGTATTTTTATAATTTATATTAGCAATATTTTGATCACTTAATTAATCACGGTGTTATAGCATGACGGTTACGTCAAGGCGATTTGCAAACTTTTGCGGTAACGATAACAAAAAATGGCGGATGGGAAAGGCAGCATGTCCTCTTTCTCGCCTGTAGGCAATATTCACAGATACGATTTCCTGTTAAACTAGTTCCATTCAGTCTGTTGACAGATGACACTACTCAGTGTTAGAAATTTCCAAAACTGCAGCTTAGCACAATTTTTTATAAAAAACGCTGCTCCACCTACATGTAATTCAATCATTGAAAATATGTATTGACTCTGTGTCACTACCAATAATCCAATTTAAATGAAACTCGGACAGTCTCAAGCAAACTTACTACCCTGTCTTATGTAAAAGTTAGAGGATCCAACTTCTCTAATTATAAAATCTAGAGCCAACGGTAAGAAACTTTTTGATCGGCCCTTGTATATATGGATGATTATAAAGACTGGGTCAAATCTGCCAGGTGGTCTACAAGAAACAGAATATAAGCTGTAAACCTACCGACTGAGATATCCAAGTTCATACTTTCTGGTCAATTCTCGAGTTTTCTCAGTACATGTGCCTCAGAGCCACTCAAAATATTAACTGTAAGTAAACTGTGTATAAACAAGGCATAAAATGACAAATCCAGAACAGGAATGTGGTGTGTATCGTGCATAATAAGGTTTCAAACGCAGTGTAGTTAGACGACTACGTATGACTTCTATCGAATTCTATGGACGGTAACGTAAAATATACATTACTGAATGCATCACCGAATGCGTCGCTTACATAAATCGTTCATCCTTTCATTTTTTTCAATTTATTTAAATTTCCTTGATATTGATAATAATAAAAAAGTATGCCTTTGTTAACTTAATAACATTAGCGGCATAGTAAATATTAAAAATATAACACAGGAATTTACACAATACAAAATACTATATTACACTATTATACTAAATAACATTCAAACAGAGGTTATGAATCCATGGATTTTGGTCAAAAGAGCAAATCCAAACGTCTGTTCAATTCTCCTTTTCGCAGTTCGCTCTTTGAATCAGAACGTTCGCAAATATGCACTGAAAAAGCACTCAAAAAGGACAAAATTTGATTGGTCAATATTTTCCCACTATGCATTTCGCGTAGCTATATGCGTGACACGAAAGTTCTAAATCAAACTAATTACTCAATTTTGTTTTTACACCCGCACGCTAAATAAAACAATGACACCATCGTAAGTATTCTTCTTTGTCATTGCTTTAATGGTCAGTATACCGAGTTTAATCAATAAAAGATTGTACAATGAACAACAAAATTCGCAAACGAGTACTATACATTTGCTTTCGGACTACTGAACAGATTGACCTAGATAATAGCGACGCGTCTTCTTTGGTCTACTGCTCAGTTGTTTGTGGGTTTTCAACGTAACTCTATAATGTAATTTGAAGATGAATACTTTTATTCAGTTGTTGCATCGATGTCGCAGTTTGTAGTGCGGTAAGATTGGCATGAAAGTATTGAAAGTCGAATGGAATTGTTTTTTCCAATATGGCGACTAGTCTACTGATCACGTGACCTTCTCTTTCGGAATATTTTCTCACTTTTCAATCATCGTTTTCACCACGCTATGAATTAATACAATGAAAAAAATAGCTGTTATATTAAGATTAATGAGAGATCAATCGTTTCTAATAATTTTTTCTGTACTCTCGTACGGGAATATGAACGAATATATCGTTTGAAAAATAGGTGTGAAAATCCCCATGTTAAACCTATGAGGGAAAATAAGGAAGTATAAATTTGTTCCTCCGCGAACTGCATCATGGGAAATATTTTGCCCTTATAAGGAAAGATTTTCGCGTCTTCTCTTTTGAAGAGGGAACAACGATTTCGATAATTAAGTGTGACATTGGCAAATATATAACAAATTGTTTCCCCATCAATATAATTAAACTTTTAGTCCACTCTCAAGGGACTTGGCGACTCGCAGAACGGCGGCGTCTTCGTGGTGACGTCCTGTTATCATGGCACCAACTGGTAGCCCCTCTGAGTACCCGACGTTCACTGAGATTGAGGGGTGCCCAGTGATGTTTGTGGCAGGTGAATTCTTTGAGACACCTTTCGCTTCTCTTAGCAATTCTGAAAAATCAGAGGTATGAATGTAACAAGATATTAGAAAACAAGTTCAATTTCAGACTCCACGATCACATGATAAGATTTCTTTTCAGTTTTTAGAAAGAAACGAAGCAAAGAAAGAAAGAAAGAAAAAAAGAAAGAAAGAAAGAAATAGGCAAAAACAGTAGACTTCAGATATTCATCTTTTAACTCAACAAAATCAATAATATTTGTGGAAAGGGAGTGGGTAAACCAGAAATAGAAATTAAGTACTTATTGAAGGTCTCTTAATAGGGTTTCTCCCTGAATTTGTTGAATAACCTTAGTCCTACTCACCAGTTAAACCAAATGAGGCTTCTGGTAGTTTTCGTGCTGTGGATTGACACGTCGGCATTATCAAAACATCAACCTTCTTCAAAGCTTTGTTATATTCATCCGTAAGCGCCTTGCAAAGATTTTGGGCTTTCCCATAGAACTTGCCATCGTAAAATCGCTTCGTGAATTCACCCCAAAGTGCATTTTCCTGCCGAGTTATTGGTAAGTCAAATGGCCTTGTTTTAATTGCTTTACGGTAGTGGTCAGTGATTGAGTTAGGGTAAAATCCCTTTCCCATACCGCCTCCTAAAACAAGGGCGTTCAATTGATAGTAGTATTTAATATTTTATCTAAAGATTTAATGTAAATGTGTGTATTGTGAAAGTTGATTAATTTTATTCCAAAATTTCTTACCCATAAACGACTGAATATAAATCCCTTCGCTGAGAGCAGCAAACAGGCAAACAGCTAAAACAGAAATATAATCTTATTCATTTTCTTTTATAGTCTGTTGATTGTTAAAGGACAACTGAAATAGCTTTTCTCAACTTGCAGCTACAAAAATGCAGTTTTCTCTGTTGTAAACCCACCGTAGAGTTCTTGCGATAGCCATTATAAAATAAATGTTAGATAACTGCTAACGGTCATAGATAACAAAATAAAACTAACTGATAAATCAAATTGGCCCCCACGTGATTAGTAACGTCATATACAAATTATAGCTTTGGTTTATTGGTTCCATAGTAATCACAACGTCACGGCAACCATAGGATTGTTGTGTAAACAAATAACAAAACATTTTGGCATTATGACGTCATGATCTAATGGACCGAAACGGGCCACGTGGGGGCCAGTGAGAGATCACGTGGGGGCCAATAACGTCACAACCAATTCGAATATTGCTTATTAAGCAGCTATAACGATGTTTTTGGTGGCGACTCAATGAAGCAGATGTGGGATCGGCTGAACTAAGAAAATGATTCGATTCATAACTCGATATTCAGACTGGTTTTCAAAACTGTAGAAGAACTTAGATTTATTCAACACAGGTTGGTTTCTACCGTCTTTGTGCATGGGTAGAGAGATATCTTCAACAGTTGCTCCAGCGTTACGGAGTACATCAGCTGTTGCCTTGACAACATCTACTACGTCATCCTCGCAACCGTCAAACCCTTCTTTAAGAAACCCAACCTTCATACCAGCTATTCCGAGCTCCAACTGTACGAATGGAAATCAGTTGGGATATTAACGTTATCAATGTGGTACAAATTGTGTTAAGGTTCGCATTTTGGATCCCTATTCGCCGCTTTTTAGTTTCAAATTACTATGTGGACTTACCAATTTGGAATATTCTGGAACTGCTCGACCTGTTAATGACCTTGAATCAAAACCATCATACCCAGCCAAGATCTCGAGTAACAAAGCACAGTCGTCCACTGTTCGAGCCATTGGTCCAAGGTGATCAAGTGTACAATCCAAGTAACATGAACCACTGTATGGTACAAGTCCATATGTAGGTTTGAGGCCGACAATTCCACACCAGCTTGCTGGTATTCTAATTGACCCTCCCGAGTCACCACCTAATGCTAAATCTACTTCTCCATTGGCAAGCTGAAAAATATTGCATTTCCATTTTTTTGTTTCATTAATCATGGGCGTCCGAAGGGAACGCGTTGAGTACGTTGAGCCAATTAATGAGTTACCTTTTCCAAAGGGATTCCGTTACATTACCGAAGTTTAAGTTTTTACAGTTAAATTCATGTATTACAAAGACGTGTTTTTTCTTACCAATGCCGCGGAACCTGAACTTGAACCTCCAGAGGATCTCGAAGGATCTGCGGGGTTTGTGACGGGTAAAGAAGACGTGAAACTATTACCATCAAACGTCACATCTTCGCACTGACTTTTGCCCGTGATTCTGCCACCTAAGGACACATGCGTATGTTTTAAGTTGAGTCCAACTCCTGTCCTTCAATTCGAAAATATGTAACGTATGTTTATTTAGTATTAACGGAAGATCCATCATTGCTTCGACGCTCCTTTGGGTCAACTCTTATTGTCTGTTTGGCAAAAATAATTTTGGACAAATATATAGTGTCAGGCTTTTTATTCTACCGTTTATTCTATTACTGTAAAATTCCTTACCAAATATTCTGCGCCAAATTTTGACCTCTTACATGTATATGATCATTTCACCGTTGAGAAAACTCAGACAATTATTTTGTTCTATTTACCATTAAAGCATTTCCTCTTTAATTTGCTATATATTTTATTTACTAAAATCCCATCGCCAAATCCCTACAACATTTAAAGTTTGAAATTGAAAATACTGCAAAATTGTGGAAAAATCTGTTTTTACCTGCATCCAGTACTCTAGTCACGACAGTTGCATCAAATTCAGGTACGAAGCCTTGGAATATTTTACCACCGTTTGACATTGGGACCCCGGCAACTGCAATGTTATCTTTGACAGCAATTGTACGGCCATACAACTTGCCTTCCTTTGCGCCTTGTATATCAGTTCTCCATGCCCTGTAAACACCAAGTTAACTCCATTATTTATTAATTCTCTAAATAGGGTTGCTCGATAAATACAAATACAAACGCTTCTATTCCATGTCCACAGTAGCCAAATCAAGTTGACATCTCCCACAATACAATGTGCATGATTATATTACTGTACAGCCGAAATAATAAAGTTGTTTAATTGCCCAATTGCTTTTGATGGGACAGTAAAATATATAGATATAAGGGTATCCGGAGCATGTGTTTAAATTTTTACGTCACTGATAATAGGTATTTACATCCAAATCTAATTCAATATTGTCTATAGCCATTTTTAATATTTTATAGTAAATCCACCAGAGGTATATCTCTTCTTTGAATTGACCATAGAAATGACACGTCTCTTACATACTCCTCCTACTTTAATGGGCCATTTTTATCATTTTTTGCCACGGCTGTCACACACAAAATGAGAAAATGGCAATTTACTTTGGACTAGCTTTGGACAAAATTGCATTGTTTCCACCGAATAACTCTTTGGGGTTAAAACTTGACAGATTCTGCCCTAAAATCACTTTTAAAGTGCTCGGAATTATGAAAAATTGCATGGTTTTGAAAAATGATGGTGAGTGGACACTGCTAGTGGGGTCGCTCGGAAAATCTTACCATGCATTGTTTGGATTATCATCCTTATGTGGGAGATGGCCGGGTGTTCTTGGGTATTTAACTTCAAGTGTCGGCTCCACAAGCTCGCTGACTCTCTGGTATGCCTTCTGAGCACCTTTCATATGTTCTAGAAAAACATTGTACTCAATTCCCTAAAATTTCATGAAACTCTTATGATCGAAAGGAGCCCCAAGGAAATAACTAAACAAGCACAGTGTAACAAGCCAGATACAGATTATGAGAAAGATGTAACTTCAATGCCCCGTATGAGGATCGAACCAAGGACCCTTAAATCCTAAGACTGATGTTCTATCAACTGAGCTATAAAGGCTTAATTCAATCGCTTGTCGTTACAATACAAAATGGCTTGCCTTTCGATTGTAACAAGTACTTACCGCGGTGTTGCAATAATTCCTCATCTGTAAGCTGGAATCCAAGGTCTTTAGATATAGTCTTCAACTGATCCAACGTCGGTAGGTTGATGGCTGGAGAAACATAGATGCCGGCATCCTCTTTATTTTCACTAGACATCATGAAATACAGCAAAAGTGTTTTAGTAATACTTCCTCTGGTTAATACTCAAGGTCGAGTTCTATGCGCTATACTATGTCACGTCGACACTCATATTAGACTCACCGTTGCTATAAAAACGCAATAAAACGTATCGTGATGGAAAGGGGTCGTTTTATTTTGAGCGCTGTTATTTCCATCGTATTGTCTGGGCTCTTGAAGCACTACTCTGTTGCGAATTATTTATTTTATAAAAATACACTGAATTTCAAGATATATTTCCCAGAATTCTTGTGAACGTCAATTACGTTGGATTGGGACAGGGATGATATCAGGATTAGAGGGATTATATCAGGGATGATATTGATATCATCCCGGGTAAATTCACAAATTTTACATTTCCAAAAAATCATTTTTATCTATTTTCATTTTTTTCAAAAAGGAGTGGTATCGATATGGAGAACTGAATTCAACAATGTTTTTCTCTTAAACCAATCATTGAAAACATTCTGTGAAAAATACGGTATTTTATGTAATGTTGACTGATTGAAAACAATTTAACGCGAAAAGTATCTAGAAATATTTTATATAACTGTTTTTGTTAACATTTTTAGTGCACTTTTTTTGCTCCTTACTAATTCTTGAGAATGAAATAAAATGTCTTTCCGAACCTTGTTGGAACGAAATAGCATATACAACATGTTTTTAGACCTCTCAACATTATAGTTACAAGGGAATTTTGATTGAATTTAAAAAAGTATTCAAAATCCCCCAACAATAGATAAATAAAAATTATGTTAAACCTTAGAATTTCATTAACAAGATACTTTTTTAAAATCAACCAAAATTTCCATTGTACAATTACAATATTGAGGGCCTAAACATGTTTGTGTTTATGTCGTTTTGTTCCTATGATGTTCGGAAAGATGTTTCATTTCACACTGGAAACGTGATACCAAGAACAAAACAAGTGTTTGATGTGCTTTCTAAAACATTATAGATGAAAGTATAAATATTTTTCAAATTATATTGTTACAATTCATAAGATGACCATTAAATTGACGATGTGTTTAATTTTTAGATTTTTTATGACTGGTTTAAGAGAAACGTGTTTTCAAGAAGTTCTCCACATCGATACCATTCCTTTATCGACATGGCGAACTGAATTGAACACATGTTTCTCTTAATTCTCTTTACTTTATTCCTTGTTCGCATTCGATTTATATTATCTTTTATTTTAATACAGTTAAATATGATCTTGTTACAATACAATGGATTTCGAGATCGTTAGTACATCTGAAAAACTATTCTATAAAGTATTGGTGAGGCAGTTGCCTGCCTCGTGTTTGGCTTAGCCCAGGCGTAAAGTATTAATCAGTCCAATGTTTCATTCATCCCAACATGTCATTGGCAAATACAATGACAGCCAATGAGGATCTAAGTCCAGGATCTAGGTTGCCTGCCTCGTGTGTGGCTTAGCCCAGGCGTAAAGTATTAATCAGTCCAATGTTTCATTCATCCAAACATGTCATTTGCAAATACAATGAGAGCCTATGACGATCTAAGTCCAGGATCTAGGTTCCCTGCCTCATGTGTGGCTTAGCCCAGGCGTAAAGTATTAATCAGTCCAATGTTTCATTCATCCAAACATGTCATTGGCAAATACAATGACAGCCTATGACGATCTAAGTCCATGATCTAGGTTGCCTGCCTCATGTGTGGCTTAGCCCAGGCGTAAAGTATTAATCAGTCCAATGTTTCATCCATCCCAACATGTCATTGGCAAATACAATGACAGCCTATGACGATCTAAGTCCAGGATCTAGGTTGCCTGCCTCATGTGTGGCTTAGCCCAGGCGTAAAGTATTAATCAGTCCAATGTTCCATTCATCCAAACATGTCATTTGCAAATACAATGACAGCCTATGACGATCTAGGTCCACTCTCCAAAGATTTGGCTACTCGCAGGACAGTGGCGTCTTCATGATGTCGTCCTGTTATCATGGCACCAACTGGTAAACCCTCTGAGTAGCCAGCGTTTACCGAGATTGAGGGATGGCCAGTGATGTTGGCGGCCATTGTATTCGTGATCATACATTGCCCTTCTCTTAGCAACTCTGAAAATGTACAGATATAAATATGACGAAGATATGAATTCGAAAAGATATAAATAAACCAATTGAGGGACAAAGTCAACATATCACAAATATTGCTTTTGGAATCGTTGAACGTTTGTTATTTTGTTTGTACGATCAAGTTCCTATCCACAACGACTTATAGATGAATTAAATCATGACATAGTGAGCATATTGCTGTGAAACTGTCTGGGTCGACGGGAAATAAAAAAACGCTTATATCATACATGAATAAAAAATTTATGAATATCTGGTCCGTCCCTTAATATGTTTTGCTAATCAAAAATGTTCTACTTACCATTTATACCAAATGAGGCTTCTGGTAGCTTCGGCGCTTTGAATTGACATGTTGGCATAATCAAAACATCAACCTTCTCCAAGGCTTTGTTATATTCATCCGTAAGAGTCTTGCTAAGATTTTGGGCTTTTCCATAAAACTTGCCATCGGAGAATCGCCTCGTGAATTCACCCCAAAGCGCAATCGCCTGCACAGTTATTGGTAGGTCAAAGGGCCTTGCTTTAATTGCTTTTCGGTAGTGGTCAGTGATTGAGTTGGGGTAAAATCCCTTTCCAATACTTCCCCCTAAAACAAATGCGTCCAATTAATAGTATATATTATTTGGTAGTTCATCTAAAGTTGTGTTATATGAATGTTAATATAAATTTTTTACTTATTAAATTTCTTACCCATAAACGACTTGATATAAACCCCTTCGCAGAGAGCAGAGAACAAGCAAACCGCTAAAACAGAAATATAACTCATGTATATTCAGCGTGGTTTAAAAAGTGAGCCTTTGCAACATGCTTCATCTCAGTTATGCAACTTCTGCAAAATTTAAGACTGGGTGACTTTCATTGTACCCACAAAATCTTTAGATCTTTATCTTAACATCTGGACATATTAGTCCATTAATGCTGGTAATAACTCAATATAGCTTATTGTGAAGATTCAATTTTTTTGTCGATCTGTTTTAGTTTTCTAATGTCTTAATTTCTAATATTTCACTCAAGAACTACACACTACACACTGAATGAGGCACATACGCTTTTATTCAATTTATCCTAGTTTATGTTTGGGACCATCTCATGCTTAAGCAAAACAAGTTGATTTTTCCTTTTACCGTCTTTGTGCATGGGTAGAGATAATTCTTCAACAGTTGCTCCAGCGTTACGGAGGACATCAGCTGTTGCCTTGACAACATCTACTACGTCATTCTTGCAACCTTCAAACCCTTCTTTAAGAAAGCCAATCTTCTTTCCAGCAATTCCCAGCTCCATCTACAAAAAATAGTTAGGAGATTTATAAAATCCATAAATGATCAAAAAGGTATCAAAAAGAACCTTTTAAGTTCCGATTTTGGATTCCTATTCATCGCTTTGTTTACTTTCGATTCAACTTACTATGTGGACTTACCAATTTTGAATATTCTGGAACTGCTTGATCAGTTAAGGACCTTGAATCAAATCCGTCATATCCAGCCAAGACCTCGAGTAACAAGGCACAATCGTCCACTGTTCGAGTCATTGGACCAATGTGATCGAGTGTAGGTTCCAAGAAGCATGCACCGCTGCATGGTACAAGTCCATAGGTAGGTTTGAAACCGACAATACCACACCAGCTCGCTGGTACTCTAATCGACCCTGCTGTGTCAGCACCTACTGCTAGATCTACTTGCCCATTGGCAACCTGGAAATAGTCAGCGTTCTAATAATTAGTTTCATTACTATGTAAAAAAATTCCGAATACTGTCTCTTTCCAAGATTCAAATATTTTTAAATACTGATATAAATGCAAGCCAGGGTGTGATTTTCCTTACCAAGGCTCCGGAACCTGAGCTGGAACCTCCCGAGGATCTGGTGGGATCGGCTGGGTTTGTGACAGGTGGGGTAGAGTGGAAGCTACTGCCATCATATGTTAAATCTTCGCACTGACTTTTCCCAGTGATTCTGCCACCTATGGAAGGATATATGTGAATGTTAGATCAAGACCCTATCATTCCATCAAAATATTTCATGTATGTTTATTAAGTTTTATTAAGATTTATCATGTCTTCAACAATGTTCAATGCCCTTTAAATATCAATTTTTATTGTCTGTATGGCCAAAATTATTTTTAAAATTATTTTAATCATTTGTGTCTCAACAAATGAAAATTGGAAATGATAACCTCTGAAAAGAACGCAATAAAAGCCAACCAAACTATAGTCTGGCATCCCTTCATTCTATTTTTAAGAGATTTCAGTTTACGTTCGATAAATCAATTTTTGTATTCTTTGAACACAAAATGCAAAAATATTACCATTACCTATTAACATATGATAATTTCACCGTTGAAAAAACTCTGATAAACTACTTTTCAATCCTTCTTTAAAATTGCCGAATTCCTACTATAAAACTTATGTTTTGAAATTGAAAATACTGAAAAAATGTAGGAAAACTGTTTTAACCTGCATCCAGTACCCTAGTTACAACAGTTGCATCAAATTCAGGTACGAAGCCTTGGAATATTTTACCACCGTTTGACATTGGGACCCCGGCAACTGCAATGTTATCTTTGATAGCAATTGTACGGCCAAAAAGTTTGCCCTCCTTTGCGCCTTGTATATCAGTTATCCAAGCCCTATAAACACCAAATTATTTTCATCGGTTTTTATTCTTTAAAAGCATACGAGAGTTGCAAGACATAATAAATAAAGTTTAATAAAAACTTAAATCAAATATTTCAGATCAGACGGGGCGGACGTTGAACCCATCAAGATAACATATATGTACATCTTCAATGCATATTGTAATAAATTGAATGAATTTGAAGTACCTATAGTATATATAGTCATATTATAAGCCGGGTTTAGTGCAAATATCAAAGCATCACGTTAACTATAAAATAATTTAATTCTATGAAAACTAAAAATATTGAAATCGGTACTTCCCGTCCGCCATCTGTGATGCGAAAGTGACGGGCGTTACCTTCGCTTGATTATGACCTGTGAGATATAATCATTTGTTGCCAAAACGTCAGGCTGCAGTTGAAGTTGCAACCACCAGTCAATATTGCAAAGCGCGCAGTTTGTGATCGAAACAAACGGCTTGTCTTAGTAAACACATAGTTTGGGCACCGCGCGTGATACATAAAAAGTAAAAACATCTATTTAGCCTGGGGACTCGAGAAAAACATACCATGCATTGTTTGGATTATCATCCTTATGTGGGGGATGGCCGGGTGTTCTTGGGTATTTAACTTCGAGTGTCGGCTCCACAAGCTCGCTGACTCTCTGGTAAGCCTTCTGAGCACCTTTCATATGTTCTAGAAAGACATCGTAGGTCAAAATAGCTGCATGTGAAAAACTCAGTTTCATCCAAATACCGTTTGCATTTCGATTGTCACAAATACTCACCGCGGTGTTGCAATAATTCCTCATCTGTAAGCTGGAATCCCAGATCTTTTGATATAGTCTTCAATTGATCCAATGTCGGTAAATTAATAGCTGGAGAAACATAGCTACCGGTATCCTCTTTATTTTCAGTAGACATGGTGGAATTAAGTTAAAGTAGTCTAGTAGTGTTTATAGAGAATACCGTTAAAGTAGACACATCAAGGTCGGGAGCTACGTCATTATACACCGTTACTCATAAATATGGAATATTTTCCAATTCACCATTGATTGCAATTCTCTCTTAAAGGACCTTATACACCCTCCATTGGGATCTCCCCATGGGAAAAAAATAATTCATCTGATTTTCCAAAATGAGTATTCTGCTTCAATTATTACATTTATGTGCACACCAGTATCTTGTTGACCTATATTCAGCACTGTATTGATGTATAGGCCACTTATTAGGGTCATAATTCAATCATGAAGTGTAGCGGCATAGATTACAAACCAGGGAGTATTTTTGTGTCTGTCAAAATCCATTTACATCCTACGCATCCCTGCATCTTATCCAAATATGTTACTACATAATGAAATATAATAGTATAATCTTTGGTTTTACAAACTTGTATGATATTTGATAAGTGTAAAAGTTGTTTTTGGAGCATTTTTCTATAGTCATTTTGTAGGGAAAAAAATGATGAAAAAATGTACAATCTTTTAATTTTAAGTATGACCTGAATCGATTGCAAACTTCATATTTGCACATTTGATGAGATAAACCATTTGTGTCGTATTGTGAAATTATTAAGTTTGCAATCGATTCAGGTCATAGTGTATTTTTGGTATTTCTGTGATAATCAATGGAAACCAATGGCCTCTATTGGGATCTGCTGATATCCTCATGTTAAGTCAATGGTGCACAGCCCCATGTAAGTCAATACAACCTTACTGAACGAAATGATCCCTATCTCAGCTTATGTGTGTCCGAGCACTTTAATATTTTCCAAAGTATTATATGACATTTTATTCTTCATGTTACACCTACGAATGATTCATTTTGACCATAGGGATATTTGCCAATAATTGCACCTTGTCCTTTAATGAATGGGTAGTTTTAAAACGTTGTTCCATAGACTGGCCATGAAGAATAAACCAGACACATTTGTAATTAACAACATTTTTCGTTCCCCAGGAATACATAACTCCTTCAGACTCCACAGAAATCTTGGAGAATATTCTGCTAAAAGAGCGTATTCGTAAGGTTTTTCATGAAGTCATGAAAAAGTAATATTTGAATGATTAAACTATATTTCCAAAATCAACATGGGGCCTTTATTATTATCTGTTTGTGTTTAGTACATCTGATAACATTTATTTCGGTAAAATTCTAGTGAGGCAGTCATCTCGTGCATGGCTAAGCGCATGCGTAAAGTAAAAATAAGTCCAACATTGTCACTGGCAACTTCAGCGAGTCTATGACGGTCTAGGTCCACTCTCCAAAGTCTTGGCTACTCGCAGGACAGTGGCGTCTTCATGATGTCGTCCCGTAATCAAGGCCCCAACTGGTAGACCCTCTGAGAAGCCGGCATTCACCGAGATCGAGGGATGACCAGTGGAATTTGAAGCAACTGTGTTCCTTACCATACTGAATGCTTCTGTCAGCAACTCTAAAAAACATAGCACAAACACAAAGAATAGCAATTTCTATTTTTCCTGACCTTAAAGGCCCCATATAAAGTTTAAATCACTTGGCTTATGTTGTATCATTACCCAATGTTACAGAACCAAAATGTGATATGTGAAACTTTCAAAAAATTCAAAAAACGGTTTTTGACGAAAAATCGTGAATTTATTTAAAACTAAATTTTAGAATCCCAAAAGTAGCCTGAGCGCAAAGCCAAATTACTGTACTAACTAACGTAGTTAAACCTTGGGCATGGTTAAACCTCTCTCTCGAGAAAGTGACGTCAAACTAATCCCAAGGGTACCAAAAATATATTATGTTACGCATATGATATGGATTGGTACAATAAGTAACTTGCTGGAAATTCATTTTGTGAATCCTTTGACTCTACGCACCATTTACATCATCCAGCAGGGATGCTGCTGGTAGCTTCGGCGCTTTGTAATGGCAAGTTGGCATAATCAAAACATCAACCTTCTCCAAAGCTTTGTTATATTCATCCGTAAGAGCCTTGCAAAGATTTTGGGCTTTTCCATAAAACTTGCCATCGTAGAATCGCTTTGTGAATTCACACCAAAGGGCATTTGCCTGACGAGTTATTGGTAAGTCAAAGGGCCTTGCTTTAATTGCTTTTCTGTAGTGGTCAGTGATTGAGTTAGGGTAAAAACTCTTTCCCATACTTCCTCCTAAAACAACGGCGTCCTAATTATATTTCAGTTCAGTCCAATTTATTCCATACGTTCTTATATAATAACACTATGAAATCATACCGCTTGACGCCAATGGGAATATACTGCGGTGTAACAGAAATATGTGGTGGATTCATTCCTATTGAAAGACTTCGCCAAATTGATACCATACTGCGTACATGCTAATAAAAAGTCTAATTGTAAAAGATATCACAGTGGAAAGTGTAATATTTTACCATAAAACGACTGGATATAAATCCCTTCAGTCAGAGCATGAAACAAAGGCATCGCTAAAACAGAAAAAAAATATTTCCTATTTTTCAAAATTGTTCGTGATTCCAGTGAACTACCAGAGGGTTCGACAGGTGGTTTAACAATGACTACTACTGAATCAACTATAAAATGAATACAATTTTACTTGATCTTATATGGGTGTCTGCTGTTTTCATAAAACATACACTGTAGCGTTTGGCAGAGAGAATAACATTTACTAAAAGATCGATTTAAAATTAATAATACTGGCGTAAACGCGTGGTAAAGAGGAATACATTTTGGTTGCCATATTTTTAGAGGGGAGAGTACACAGCACGGTTCCTCTTAACTACTGTTTTGACTGATAACAGAAGTGTCACACATTCACTCTTGACACAACAAAAATATAAGATGTTTGACAAAAAAGTATGTTTGTTGCAGTAGGGAAACACGAGGAGCTCTTTACCGTCTTTGTGCATCGGTAGGGAGATATCTTCAACAGTTGCACCAGCGTTACGGAGTACATCAGCTGTTGTCTTGACAACCTGTTCTACGTCAGTCTCGCAACCTTCAAACCCTTCTTTGAGAAAGCCAACCTTTAAACCGGCAGCACCTTTCGCCACCTGTGCAAGAAAAGGGGGTAAGGTTGGTTAGGAATAGCAAAATAAACGTTCAGGCTCCAATCAGTGAATTTACGTACACAATCAATTCCCTTTTTACTGTTGGATTTCATTTTATTTACAGTTGTAACAAAGAATGGTGCATTTTTTCTATAGATTTTTAAGGAATTGACACTTGCACACTACCCTACCTCGATCACGCATGCGCGAATTTTTTGGCTTTCAATCAGGTCGCTTTTGAGTATATCGACTGCTTACTCAAAAGGTTAATACGTTTGGTGCTCGGAGTGAGTCAATATTGCTATTTGCTACACTTCAGTGGTGCAATAGTGAAGTCGATGTTCCAAGTTATATGATAGTTATAGAAAGAATGAAAATAATATCGTTTTAAATTTTAAAATATTTGATATGTCATAGTACACGGTACACAGTTGCAAAAGTTGATCAATACAGGGTACAAGGAATGTAAATTGTTCAATAGTACAGGGAGCGAGAAAGTAAGCTGATTATACAGACATACTATGTCCCGACCTCATGTACATTTACGTTGCAAACAGTGAAAGTAATGCTAAAAAGGCCACCTGTTGATGCTTTGGGGTGTCATCAATTGTTATTTAATCCAAATAAAGTAAACATTATTTTGTAGATTTAGACACGGGCTTTCAGGTCGTATGCATTTTAGTCATAAAATTAACAAGAACGCTAGATTATACGTGTTACTAGGATATCAAATTGAAATAAAATAACGAAATTAAATATTAAGACGTTAATGATAAATGACTATCCGCTACTCAGAATAATTAAAATTGCCTGAACTACATGTGAAGAATCTTTCTATATAACCCCTTGAATTGTATAATTCACTACCGTCCTCAAAAACCGATCATTTAAAATGTTTTGTTCAAATTCACAAAAATACAGTTGAATAACATACTAGAAAACATATCCACATATAACATGATGACACGAAGTTTAAATAATAGTTAACTGTTTTCTTGTTACATATCAATGTAACATTTTCGAAGGGAAACTTACATGCTCCCTGTACGTTGACAGATTTACTGAAATGTATCGTGTATTGCATTCGAGTTTTGCTTCACTGCGCCCACTATTATCTATCTTTGCCTATAGTGGTTTTTAGCCAACAATATTCTACAAACTGCTTGATGAATCAATTCTATGTCTGGTAGAACACTAGAAATAAATGTAAAATGTATTTTACGTTCAGAAATATGAAATTAAACCCACGTCCTCCATTTGCAACTTAGCTGTACCCTGTTTCCATTTTAAACGTGGTCACGTGGTATGGTAGTGTGACTTGGCAAGCTATCCGAAACCAGTGTGGGACAAAAAACGATTGGCTGGTACATGCAGTGTACTAAAGCTGCACACTATTCACTCATTCAATAGTTGAATAGTAAACACAAAAGAAATCAAATTTTAAACTGTTCCTGACCTGTTACATGCAGTGCACTGAAGCTGAACTAATTACACCCACTAACTTCTCAACACACTTACCTTATATTCAGTACAAAAAATGGATCATGGGCCATTTACCTTTCATAAGAGTCAGTGTTTAAGTAAGATAACCCATTCGCACTGGGTCTTAGAAGAACTAGTAGCCTCTGGCAAAAACCCTCGGTTAATAATCCACCTAAATCCCAGTACTCATAGTTTATCCATAACAGGAAAATATTGGCTAGCATTCTATGCCCATCCATCATGTAAATGGTTACTTCTCTTTGAGATAGATGTCTCTGTGAGAACATTAAATTGAACTTTTTTGCAAGCTGCCTTACTTACAAGCCTCGAATATTCTTGAACTGGTCGATCTGATAGCGTCGTTGAATCAAATCCATCATACCCGACCAACACCTCTAGTAACAGGGCACAATCGTCCACCGTGCGAGCCATTGGCCCAATGTGATCGAGTGTAGGTTCCAAGGAGCATGCACCGCTGCATGGTACAAGTCCATAGGTAGGTTTGAAACCGACAATACCACACCAGCTCGCTGGTACTCTAATCGACCCTGCTGTGTCGGCACCCACTGCTAGATCTACTTGTTCATTGGCAAGCTGAAAATAAAATTCAAGTAACGTTAACATAAAAGTATGTCAAGGAAAATAAAAAAAGTATTACTGAAGTGTAATTATCAATTAGCTGTTCGACATCATTTTTGAAAACAAAATAAACTCTTTTCCAGATCCATTTGTAATTGTCATTATATATTGTGAATAGAAATATATTCAACTCACTAAGGCTCCTGAACCTGAACATGAACCTCCGGAGGATCGTGTAGGGTCGGCTGGGTTTTTGACCGGTAGAGGAGAAGTGAAACTATTGGCAGAAAATGTCATATCCTCGCACTGACTCTTGCCTGTAATTCTACCACCTTGTATAAAATTGAGAACGCACATGTGTGGATGTTTTAAAATATCAACTATTATTAACATGCTTTATAAAGCAGCGGAACTGATTGTAGATCATTGGGAGGATACCACAACATAGGGATATTGCAATTTGATCCATCTTCGTTCATTCGGCCCCTGTAGGACGGAACACAGTGAAAACATGGACGACTGGGTGTGAGATGTACTTTAATAGTGAAATGTATGTGACTGTGGCCTTAGTTGACAAACTGAGCGCAAACGGAAAGTTATTTTTCAGTTCTACGTTGCATGTAGACTTTTCGACTACTGTCATGTACATTTTATGTGGAGAGACAATTTATTTCGCCGGTTCATACACCCATGTCCACATTAAAATGAGGGCAACACGATCATTTTTTGTACATTTTGTATCCCTCTCGTTAGATTTTCGTCAGGATGCAAAACTATAAAAATCTGCAAATTGACTTGATTCTACACATTGAACTGCTACACCTCTGTATTTTTGATTTCAAGGTTTAGGGTTAAAAAGTAAAATTTGTGTTAACCTGCATTCAGCACTCTCGTGACACAAGTTGCGTCAAATTCAGGAACATAGCCTTGGAATATTTTACCACCGTTTGACATAGGGACTCCTGCCACTGCGATGCTGTCCTTTATGGCAACCGTACGGCCGTACAACTTGCCCTCCTTTGCGCCTTGTATATCAGTTCTCCAAGCCCTACAAACACCAAATTATAGATCATTTGTGAATCGTTTAAAGACATACGAGGGTTGCTCAATAAATACTAATGAGAACACCCTTCACGTAATCCGGAAGTCCCCTTTCGAATCATCCTGGTTATGTTTTGATTCTAACAGATTTTTTTTGTTTTTCTATTCGGAGTTATTTCATTAGTTCACAAAAGTAAACAAACAACTAATTGTCAACGTTTTATACGAAACATTAGCGGCAGTTTTAATCAATACGGTATAACGTAAATTTAAATTCCTTGTTACCGCGCGTTATACCGAATACTACTTTCGGAGTTTATGTAGGTGAAACATTTACATATAAAAATATCCAGAAACTAGACCAGATCTTTCTTAAAAGCTCTTGTAACTTACCCCGCGCGTTCAACTGTCACGCTTAGTTTCAGTGGCGGATCCAGAAGCTAACAAGGGGGAGGGGGGTCAGTAAAAAAATGTTGGGCCCTTAAAACCCAAAATTGGGCCCAAATTTTGAAAATTTAGGGCCTATTAAAAAGGCCATGTTTTAAGGCCCTACAAAATTTCTCAGGTGATACAGGATTTTTCATTCCTAAAATATAACACCGTTAAATCAACAATAGATTATTCTACTGTTGATTATATTCAATTGACTGAGTATTCATCTTTCAAATAGTACACATGCGAATGTGTCTGACAGGTGTACATGTACTTGTAATTGTTCACACAAGTGATGAATTAAAATACAATAAAACCTGTCTCAATCCGAACTCCACTGGCACCGGCCATAAGTGTTAAGATGAGCATGTCTTCGTTCTCTTAATATGTGAAAAAATACATTCTGATACAGCATCTCTCTCTGTTGCATCGCAGATGGATCCAGAATATAGAGATGGAGAGGGCGTGGCTTACCACGATGGAAAAAATAGGGAACTACAAAAGTGTATACATTAGATACCCTGCGTGCAGAGTCTACTGTTAAGCCCTCTTTTAAGAAGTGAAGTCAAACGAATGCAAAGGGTAACATTAGACGGCGTTTGGATTAGAAAAGTGTTTGGACATAAAGGTTTTACTGTATCATTTGTTTCGAGGTCTCCTCTGCCGAAGGCAGCGCGAAGTAGGAGCGTAGCGACTACTTTGCGGGAGACCTCGAACCATTGATCACGTTTCACTAGAGGCAATCTGCGCGAGATTCCATTTTTTGGTTCGGTTTTTGGCGCATGCGCTTTAAATCAAGCAATTTAATTGGTTCAAATTATTATAACGCATGCGCAATAAATAACTTATAAGAACATTTAATTTGAGATAGATGTCACTTACGTTCATTATTTCACAGCAGTCCCTACCCATGATGCACCATATAGTGCGGGAATATTTTTGTTTAGTGTCAAAACAAAAAGTATACACCAAAAACAAATGTAATTAACTTACATAATATCAACCTGCCCCGGATTTGTAGACGTGTGTTGTACAAACTTAAACCGAACCGATGGCAGAAAAGCACTTTGAATAATGGGAATGAAGTACTTCCTTTAATGAAAAACCGAACCAAGTAAAAACCGAATCTCGCGCAGATTGCCCCGACTCTCACGTTTGCTCCTGTAATTATTCACTTCTTCACCTCTTTAAAATGTTATTTCAATCAGTTGATCAAATTTTCGGACTTTGACCTCAAATTCAAATATTAATATTTATAAGAAAAAATACTGACTCATTATTATATTTTTAAAAGTCTTTCAAATAAAGTGAAATGAAGCCAATGAAGCCAAAATCAGCTAAAATTATGCAATGTCGTAAAATGGCGTTACTGGAATATGATGCAATCACCTGTGACGTCATACACGTATTGCCACATCAACAACTAAACAAACAATTAATAAATACTTCACTGATTGGTTTAAAGATTCTTGGCATCATTTGTGACGTCATAAACATGTTACCCAACCAACAACTAAACAAATAACAAATAGGCATACAGGTTCGTTCAGTGCCACGCTCTTGAATCAGTTATAAACAGGATAATCAACAGATATATGATAGGGTCAGGATTTTTTTTGACTTGGAGACCTCGACTCGAGGAGTTTGCTGCATTTTCTTGTTGAGGCAAGGGCGTTACAATACCCGGGAATTTATCGGTTCGTCCAGTACTTGTTTGTGATAGCGCCCTCTGTAGGTCACTGTGCTTATAGCCTACAGTAATACGGGGTAGGATATCGGGAATTCGGTCAGTTTCTATCCGTCGATTTCGCTATGAATTGAAGCAAGTGTGACCACTTTATCCACTTAAACAATTTGATAATTGATTAAATCTTTAAACAAAATCGATAAACACGTTATCCACTTCCTATCTCCTTAGAAATTAGCATGTATTTATGGATTGTGTTTTCGAACAAGGCTCGACCCACACCAATAGGGAAATCCTTATGCTAATTAGTATGACGTCATATTTTCCTGGGGAATCCTAGATTTCAAAGCCTCAGTCTGTTATTGTGTCAAATGTAAACGCTCTTGGGACGCTCTTTTGCAGACAGAAAATTGACAGATTAGCTTTTAACTTTCAGCTTTGATGTTTAAATATTCTGTATTTCTACCGGACTTCTTGCTGAATATCATATAATGTTATAACTTGATTTGGATCATTGCCTGATTGATCATTCTGAAATTTTGATTGTGATTCATGATTGATTGGCAAGAAAAATAATTCCTATTGTTTTCCAGCGAAGTCAAAATGTTACAGCATGAGTTATAATGTCGAGTTTGCATCATGTTAAATTCTGCTAGTGATTTGAAGTCCATGCACAAGCATACACATAAAAGACAAACACACCCAGGCTCCAGGCCGTGGATGGAAATATAAAACTATTTAAGGCACAAACTGGTATTAATAGACCGATATGTAGTGTCTGCCATGTATTGAAGGTAAACCAATCTGTATTATTAATGTTTCTTCTATCAATACATGGGTTGTGCAATAGAAAAGCAATGGCACAATCAAAAATGTGCATATCAATCGTGAATATCTCTCGGTTCAAAGCTTATTTCCAACAGAATCGTGTCAAAATATGTGTCTGAGTAACAGTTATACATTATAAGATCGCAAACTCTTACCAATTATCAGCCGAATGGCTCATTTTCAACGAAATGTCCTTAAGACAACAGCCCTGGGTCGCGCCTGAGACCAAAAACTACTTCAAATAGCCCTCCCCTAATTATATTGGATAATCACATTTATGCGTGCGCGCGCAGCTCATCCAATGAACGAAACGCCACTTCCCGCTGAAATCACCGGGTATTGATCTTTCCCTTGGTTGAGGTTCATTCACCCCTTAATTCATAATATGTTACTGCCATCTTTCAATGGATACTAATATTAATCTCGCATTGAAAAAACGTCATCTTACCACGCAACGGGGTTCTCAAAAAATCTTACCATGCATTGTTCGGATTATCATCCTTATCATTTTTAGGGCGATGGCCGGGTGTTCTTGGGTATTTAACTTCAAGTGTTGGCTCCACAAGCTCGCTGACTCTCTGATAAGCCTTCTGAGCACCTTTCATATGTTCTAGAAATATTTTGTGAAACTTTAACATTGAACGTGAATTTTTGCATGTGAAAAAACTTAAAACGTCATAAAAAGGACGTCCTCTTTATAAGATAGAGCTGTCAAACTTACGGAATTTTACGATACATAGTTGGCAAAACAAATAAATTTAGGCTACAGCAAGATATCCCCGATCACACCAAATACAAAAAATTAATTAATTTGTTAATCAATTTAATTAATCACACGGTTAATGTGACAGCTACTTCACCGCCCGAGCTTTACCCCATGCATATAAGAAATAACGTCAAAACGTGACTCTTGCAAAGTGGCACAACAGGGTCTGCGCAAGCAAAAAACGTTGTGAAATAGAGCTTACCTTTGTATTGCAGGAGCTCCTCATCTGTAAGCTGAAATCCCAGGTCTTTAGATATAGTCTTTAGCTGATCCAGCGTCGGTAGATTAATAGCTGGAGAAACATAAATACCGGCATCCTTTTTATTTTCAGTCGCCATTGTGGAATACAGTTAGTTGTGTTTACTTCATGAGAACACAAGGTCGAATGCATAACATTGCTACGTGCTTCGTGTCTCTTTGACATCCAGTTTAATTACAATGGTATGCTTTATGTCTACTATTTAACTGTTTTTCTGATAAAGGTAATTTTTGGGATTTACCATGGGCATTCAATAGAGTCACGTTTAGCTCATAGTATAGTCTTAGGTGCATATCTTAATATCTTTTGTTAAAAGAGCGGAAGCTTCTGACTGGAAATTCTTTCAAAATCATGCACTTTTTCGAATTCACCATTCTGACTCTGAGAACTTTTAGCATGATTTGTGAGCTCCGCTTTGCAAAAGCTCCCCCTCTTCAAGTAAACTAGAGACACTGATTGAAAACTTGTCTCTGAGAACTGAGCTGGCAGTACCGGGGCAAGTCAGTATTAGACAACTCCCTCGGGACAAATCTATCCAACTCACAGCAAGTTGTATAAACCAAGGACGTCCTTGTATAAACGGATGTTAAAAAATATGATACTTCGGGTTTCTCGGGTAATGCGGGGGCCTGGGGCATGAGGTAATGCAAAATCCAAAACAAATGGCCCGGGAAATTATTGCTCATTTCGTTCAGTGCATGATTTTAATTCCCACTTCAAGTCACGTGATAAGACGAGAACTGACATGGCGGACAATTTGAGAAAAGCTGTGACTTCACTAACTGAAGTAGTGTTTCCTGCCTCCAGGTCAGCACGAGAGGGTCAACAACATCACGCATTACGCGCAGGTATAATATGTACATGTTGGATTATGTATTGTGTTGTGTTCGTTTGAAATTATATTGTTATGGATAAAACCACACGGAATTCCTTAGACCAAAATCAGATTCAAAAGTAGACTATATTCATAAATCATAATGTACATGAATGACATTTGTATATCTTGGATTGCTTCTAGTGTGGCTTATAAAGTGTGTGGCCTCTCATATTTGGATGTTTCTCTGCCATGTTATTTTCAATAAGATTAACATGGCTGAAGTTCTTCAAATTACAAGACGGCACAACCTTATTGCACAAAAAACTAAAAAATCTGAAATATACAAATGTCATTCATGTACATTATGAATATACTTTTCCATATATTATTGCACAATGGTCTCCCAATTTCTTATTTTTGCCGTGCTACTGACGAAATGAAGCAATGAAATGGACTCTCTTTGCTTTTGTTTTTTCTGACAACTTTGATCGTGAAAAATAACACTTAGCTAAAGAATGATACTGTCACTTACCTTCCAGAAGTAAGTAAACATCCAGACGTGTCTGCACATATGCTTTGTTGCGTCAACCACTGAACAGCCCATTGAAAGCCATGTTAGATACGATAAGTTAGATCCAAAAGATAAAAAATGAAATATAAAACAGATTTACTTTTCAAATTTATGTAACATAAGACTGCCTCACTGCCAAAATTCAATGGAAAATTAGCCTCAAACTAATTTGCATGTTTCGATCTCAAATGGTCTTATATTTCAAATACACCTTATTCTTCTATAAGCCCATATAAAGCAGATACTGTATATAATTTAACAGTGATAGAGTTTGAATAGAATATAATTTAAGACCTTACCAATTAAAAACAGATCTATGGTTTACAACCAGAAGTGAGTACATGTACATTTCAAAACTATGGTAATACTATTGAAGTTACTCGATCCAAACTTGTAGAGAATACTCATAAAACAACAGTGAACATTGTGAGATCCATTTCAATGGCAAATGAGGCCTGTTTATAAAATTGTTCATCGAATGTGCCAAATACTACTTGTCATCTTTTGGATATCTCCCCCCCCCCCCCCCCCTGGTTTACAACTCATTTTAAAATTGAAAGGAACCTTCCTGGTTGGCCCCTGTACCCCCTAGGAAGTCCCTTTATGTTGAAATACCCTGGGGCAACTGTCAGGCTAAGTGTTGACATCTCCCCTCTTTACTAGTAGTGCAGGCTTGTTGCCGTGCACTGGGGACCTTGATTTTATGAAGAGTCTTAGTCTGCAATAATGACTGCCACAATGATATCACATAATAATCAGTTTAACCCTTTGTTTTCCTAATCTATATAGGATGGCACGCAATAAAAAAGATATTTAAAGCTTTAAAGCGCGCTGAGGAGGATAAGGGTTAAAGCATTGAGCAATGTGCCTTTATATTTTTCAGGGACAGAATATGTGACAAATCTTCCACTTCAGATGGCACTATACTTCAATGTCTTCTACTTCCCACTATGGTTGATATCTTCTATAATAACACTAGAAGCAAAGGTAAATACAGCAAAGCCAGGCCTGTAGCCAGCTTTTGCCAAGGGGGTTCATTTTTCAAAAAATTCCAAAGGGTTTACATTTGACAACCTGCAGAGAATGGTGAAAAACTGCATGATTTTGATGGTATTTTTGGTTCACCTCCCCTGGCTCTGGGCCTCAAAACTTTACATAATGTATATATTTAGGGTACTTCTCATAGGTATAGGTAGTTCACCTCCATAATGAATAGATTTCAGGATGGAGTTTATTAAGATCATACTTTCAACCATGTATGCTATATGCATTTTAAAGAAACCTCATTTTTTCTATAGATAGCCTCGCTCTTACATCAAAGAGCATGCTATTTTGAGCAAGCAGTGCCAAAATTAACATGGCAGGGATATTATATTTTATTGTGAAACATCAGAGATACACTAGTATTTTTTGACCATAGGGATAACCTTTTGTGATGGCATATCGTTTCATCACAAATGTTTTAACTGGTGTAATAGAGTGAATGGTGTATCTTTTAAAGTGATGTACCCTGTACGAGATATTATCACTTGAATGGCTCAGACCATCATTCATCCGTTCAGCCACATAATGGAATCATCGCTAGGTTAGTGGTTTACACAGCTAATATAATTCGACGCCGTTTCAGCATCGAAAAAATTCGGCACTGTTGCGGCACCGTTTCGACACCGTTCCGGCACCGAAACCTTTCGACACCAAAATTTGCTACCAGACTAGTCAGTCCATTTGGTGCCGGCACCAAAACGGCGTCAAAAATCAGATTGCATTTTGAGGGTGTCTGATATTTACTTTATATAGATTTTGACTTTACATTTGGGATGGTGTCAAATTATCAACAGTTGTAAAATAACAAAATTATTTTCCTTTGGGTGGTGGTGGTGGGGGGGGGGGGGTAAATGATGGTTTCGTTTGTGAATAGTGTTGATTTGTTAATTTTCAAGTGATAGACAAAGAGTGAGGGAAGAGTGTCCATTTCGGGTTGTCAAACCATAATATAATGAAATAAACCTCAAGTCTTCCCTATTTAAAATGTAAAAAGCTTTGAAGTAAGAGCAATCTATTTAATAATTTCAAAGCTGTCTTAATTTTTTATTTAAATATCCACTTAGTACTTGTGTGAAGTCAAATCACATTTGTCTGCATTATTGTTTTGCAGTATACGGCCCTGACAACATTATATAGGATCATTATCATAGCTGCTTTGGTTGTCATGACAATGGTAGAGCTGATACGACTATATCTAGGTTACCTTGGAAACCTCACTGAAAAGGTAACATACAACCCCTTCCACAACATAAGCACATATCTACACATGGTTGAGGAAAGTGTGGGACTTGATCCAAAACTAGGTTCAAGTATGCTTTCAGTCCTAAATTCTGAATAAAAAATATGAAAATCACTATTATAATTACCTGAGGCGGCTTTTGTGGATATGACCAAACACATGAAAGAAAAAATCAGTGCCCCATGTGGGTATTGAACATGGGACGCTAAGATTCAAACCTGATGCTCTAGCAACAGCTATAGAAGCTAAAAGGGATATTCCTTGTAACCCCATTTCTCTTTTGATTTTAAAAATGCCTTTAAAATTTTGTCTATTTTGAATCACCCCTCAAATACTAGATAAACATTGTAACCAAAAGGGGCTTGTAACCCAACAGATAATGTAGCTGCCGCAAAATGTACTTCATCTATTGATGATTTCAATTCTGATATTTCATTGCATTTTTGACTGTCTCTATATATTTAAACTTAAGACATTAGGAATAAATTAAGGCTGATACCAGTACTGTACTTCTACTAAATTTGGCGTCGATTTTGAGCTCTTTATTATTATTTTATTATTTCTTTGTTTGCTTCAGGTTCCAGAGTTGGCAGGTTTTTGGCTACTCACCCTCCTACTGCAGCTCCCCCTGGTGTTGTTTCTCCTATTCAACGAAGCCACGATTATTCTACCATTAGAACGTGCCATGAACATTGTGATGTCGCTGTTTGTATTATTTGAAGTGATTATTGGATATTTTGCAATACAGATCATGGTGAATCACCAGGTTGCTAAATTTCATTTACAACAATTTCACAATCTGGAGAATATTGGGGCTCATGAAGGTCATGAGTTTGAGGATAATACAAACCACACGGCTTAGTCAAATCTTGTGTATTCAACTATCAGATAATGTTGTCAACACTGTATTGTTGTATTTTATGGAACATTGGTACTCAGGAAGAACATGAGTTTGAGGATAATACAAACCACACAGCTTAGTCACATGTTCCTCTGTGAACATATTGCACTTAATACATAAATGCCAGTTCTCCAACCAGCACATTCATATGTGTAATTACTAACCAGGTACAGTTAAATCTGTAATAGGGAACAATTCCATACGGAACTGTTTCAAAAATGGACCCTCTCTTTAGTAACACCTGTTTTCAAGTACAGAAACCATGTACCCTGTATATGTTTTACTGCACTTAATCATATGTATTTGTGTATTTGACACATTAAATACATGTGTAGTCCATCCAAAAGTCAAATGTTTTTAAAACACTGCAATGTTGCATATACATTGTATGTTGATATATCCATTTGTTATGTGAAGCATTCATTTTACATTTTAAATGTATCCTAAAATGATCTGTAAATTTATTTTAACGTATACTGTAATCATCAGAGTGGGAATGACAAGTGCATTCTGGAATGCCATTGAACCGTCCAATAGACTATGTAAATATATCTGTATAAAATATTCATTTTACATTATAAAATGTAACCTTCAAAATGATCTGTTAATTTATTTTTTATTGTATTTATTTTTGTAATAAAAAGATTAAAAACTGTAAATTATATTTTGTTTGGTATGCACTCTCTGTAAAGGCTGTTTTTGTTTTGAATTCCTTATCTGTTTTAATGTAGCTCTCACACTTTAGGCCGTGTGAGATTACCGTTTGCCACTGTATGAATAATTTTGGGTATTAATTTTTGTATTTGGTGTGAGTGGTGATATCTTGCTATAAAACTGTTTTGGCCATCATGTGTCCATGCTGCGCCCCAAATTAAAGTATCCACACAGTGGCCGAAAGGTAAGTCCACACAGTGACTACCCTTCTTGCAGTCTAGTTAAACTACTGAAGACGAAGCTCTCTTTTAAGAAGTGAAGTCGAACGAATGCAAAGGGTAAATGTGACAGCTCCATAAAGTAAAACTGGTACCTCCAATTGGCATATCTATTAAGGGGGGTGTATGATATATCCATTATCCAATGAAGAGAATTTGTTACACTCTGAAGTAAGGAATTGTGACACTTTGCAATATAGGGCAATGGTCACTTTCAAAAGAACAAACAATTGTATACTTATTATATGCAGACCAAAAACTAACTTTAATTTGCAAAACAGAATCAAAAACTATATCATAGGGAAGTAAATTTGCGAAAGCATGGCTCTTATTCATAAGATAAGTTCATAAAATTGGACCTTCAAGCGCTTAGTATGCTTCATGAGAAAACCAAGTTTATATTTTTACTATAATGTTATGTTATGGAAGGTCATATCTTAAAATGCGGAAAACAGATTTTAACAGTCAGCTCAACTCTCATATAATTTATAAATGTACTTAGGATTAATAATGTAACAAAACAATCAATTCACAATTGAAAAAATAAACATTTATTAAAGGTTCCATACATTGATAGAACATACTCTTAAACAAAACATAAGTCGTGAAACCCTCAAATGCATACAAGAGGGCGCCACTGTAGCCAAAATTTATGGGGACCTAGGATGGTGAATTATACCATTTGGACTGTTTCTAAAACGATGAAAAATTCTAGAATTTAAATTGTCTGTCACAATGTCACTATGGTGACACTACAAAAAGACAATTGAGTTTCATAATCATAATTCAAGATATTTTCAATGAATGATCAACAGGTATCCATTGTAATAAGCTATAGCAGCGCCATCTTATATACACACAGGTAAATACTGATAGCTAACCAAGTAACAGAACACCACAGTAACAAAACTTTGACGAAGTTCAATCTGAGGTCAAAAAGAGCATAATGGTTCCAATGGGTATGGCTTATTTCATTTTACAGACTAGAAAAAATGCTCAACATTTCCTCAATATACAGGGTGTCCATAAACACAGACTTTGTATTTTAATTTTAAAGAGACTTTATGGACAACCTGTATACCAATTAAGGTTTTAGAATGAATGAATGAAGTAAAGCTATGGTCAGCTATGAAATGCCTTGCATGGTACTGATATTGAGAACACCTGGTGAGAGCAAGCACTGAGGGGGCGGGGGTGGGCAAGAGCCAATCCTGAGGGGCAGGGGGAGGGGTGGAATTTTTGAACACTGTGATGCCATCTGATTAGGCAGTCAAACTAAGTAAAACAAAGACACCATGCTCCACAGAACACATACACTTCTCAAAACAATAGTTTCACAGTCCACTGCACAGCTCCGAGAAAATATAAATGAACCAACATTGAACATGTAAATAAATTGTGGATCAACATCATTTGTGCAGTTTCTTGAGGCTATGTCTTGGACTGAATATTGAAATATAAATAAATATTGTTTCTCGTAAAATAACCCATGAATCATGACTACAAAAATATCCAATTGAAGTTTGTATGTTTTTGTATTGGAGATGTTCTGAAATACATATATTTGTACGTGTGGATAGTTTGATAAAATCAGGATTCGTGGTAGAGTACAATGAAGTAGTAGCACTTAAAATTGGAATCCATCATATTTAAATAAAATGAACTTATTTTAAAAACTGAATGTTTAAACTGATTTGAAGTTAAGGAGACAAATGTACACGTGGTTGGTTATCATATATAACTGGTATACAATGTATGACTAAAACTACCTAATTTTCTACATAATATGCTTCCTACCATGTCTACAGCTGAACTGTACAGTTTTGATTTGTAAGTTGTTGTTTCACATCACGAGTTGTCATAACAACCTACTGTTGCATCATGGGAGTATAAAGAGTGCTCCCAGAATTCCAGGATGATCAGTTATAGTGTTTAGTATTATATTGCACCATTCATCAAACACTACATATTTTTTAAAGTCTATTGCATCTGATTCAACACATTCACATCTTTACAGTCAAATGCACACTTAGATCAACACCACTGATCATCTAGATCAAAATCTAGGTCAACAACAGTCAGTTTGATGCACAGCTCCAAAAATAATGAAATTGTTAATTTGCTTTTTTGTGGCTGCACACCAGACTGTATCTAACCTTCTATTCTAGTAACACTCTTTCTACCCCATGATGTAAAATATTGACATAATGTCTTGATAAATATACATGTACACATAGTATAAAGACTAATCTCACCTAACTTACACACACAAAAACTGTGCTGTGTTTCTATCAACAGTACCACAATAATCAACTGAACCAATAATGAACCTATGGTCAACAGTACCACATTGAACAGTACCAGTGATCAACAGTACTATAGTGGCCAAGTACCAGTAACCTACAGTACCAGTGGCCTACGGTTCCAGTGACCAACAGTACCACAATGTCCAACACTGTATTTAGACTACATGTTCTAATTCAGTAAACTTGATCAACAAAATATTTTTCATTGAAATAAATGAAGCCCTTTATGAGATATTATGCAGTCAAGCTTTTGCAAAGGGATTTCTGTCAGGCACATGTTCCATTTTGTACTAATTTTGTAACTGATTCAGATTCTAAGTAGATAAACTGAGGCACATATCAAAATGGTATGTAAGGGTTACAATCAAATACTATGTCCTCTGAGAACTATGGGCAATGGTGGGAGCTGATTTACCATGTCACTAAAATCTTATGTAGAGACACGACCCAAAAATATCTATATGTAAAGCATGCAATCACTGTGGTACTCATACGATCATTGTGGTACTACTCATAGATGTATAATTATTATAATACAACTGCCTGTCTTTTAAGGCAGAAAACTTGTGAGTATATCTATACATATCTAATAATATAAATATTTTGTTATTTTAAATAACTCCTTGTCTCTCGACAAACAAGGTCAGTGTATCCCAGATGTATATCTACTAAGCATTCTGGGATAGACACAACCTCTTTTGTTCTTGGCAAAAGTATTTTTACATTTTTAAGTCGATAACGATTATAAATAACATACAACCATTTACATTGATCTAAGAAATGTCAGTTCACTAGATTTCTAGCTTTTTCTCTTTTTAGTATTTGGGTGATTTCATCTTCAAGTCATGCAACGAGTACATATATATAAACACTTACATACATGCACTTTATAATTTTTTTTCATATGAAAACCATCACATATGTTCAAAATATAAGTACAGTAACTGTTTGTATATGAACTTTGAAAATGTTCGCATAAAACAGGCATATGGATAAAGGTTACAATTTACAACACCAATTAACATGCGTAGAAAAACTGAAGTATCATAAAACTGAAACCACATACTGGATTGCTCCAACTTTTAACATGTATATTATTCTATTGGATTGCTCTATCTTTTAACATGTATATGATTCACATCTATATTGGCAAGATAAAATTTACAATAACTTAACATGAAATCCATAACCCAATGAAAAATATCTTCCAAAATTTGGAACAAAATAAAAATTCCATAAATTTGTCATCGTGAAAGGCTTTACATTTAATTGTACATATATATTTCTAAGTATTAATATTTCATTTCTAGATCTATCTTTGTACTAGATATAGTATAAATCATACCCTTACACACAGTAGGAGTATTCCATTTTCTTATTTCATATATACACGAACATATCTACATGTAAAATGAAAATGTGGTGTGTCATGATTAAATAGACCAATCAGCTGTTCTATAATATTCACTTGAAGTAAGAACCCTGATGAGTGACTTGTCAACATGGATTTTTACATATTTCTGTTTCTATGCACAATTCATGTTTTTTTTGTTGATAAATATTAACATTATGTTTCACAATGACACATATTATTCAAAAAAACAAAACAATCAACTTATTTATGCTGTAGTTCTGTAAACAAACATTTAAGCATTTATGGCAACATCAAATATAATTTTGTTCTCAAAATTTAACAAGATAATATAGAAAAAAGTAAGATGATTAATGTTAGGCTTTGATTTAAATCATTCATCCAAGGCTTAAAATAGAAGTAATACAATTAAAAAAATTTACTGATAAAGTCTTTTCCTAGAGTCTCTTATTTTAGTATCATACACATATTGCGTAGGTTACATGTAAGGTACATGTTTGGTCATATTTTGGAATACACAAAACATTGTTATTATATTGCAATATAAAAACTGAGAAATAATTTGTCATGCTTTCAAATATTATTAAATAAAAAAAAAATTATGGCAGTAACTAATATTGGCAATTGATCTAGATAATGATATTTAACTCTCATGACAAGAAAACCCTGCTATATTTAAATAAATCAATCATTGTAAATTAATATGTCTGGTTCTTGTCATGGGATGTGAGTGCGTATTCTGTGGTTTGATACAGCTATGGTATCATGACTAAACTCTGTACGAGCCAATAGAATAAATGCATATCTCTGACAACATACAAGACAACAACGAGGCGTCTTTCTTGCAGTAAAAGTTCAAGATTGACAATTGACAGTACACCAAGCAATTAATCAGACAAATGAACTTGAGTTCCTTTACATACTGTCGTGAAATGAGGCAGATCTTTCAATAATAATTTTGAAATCTTGAATGTGTCATGTGCTTCATTGTTACGCTGTTGATTCTTTCAGATTGTCAAAATAGTCCATTAGCTGATTATAGTTTAGCCCCATCCTCTCATAATCCCACTCAAACTCAGAGTCAGTTAAGTTGCCATTTTCCTCTGGCAAAGGATTATGGGTTATACGCAGGCTGCGTCTGCTATTTTGAGAAGGAGTTGGAGAGGCTGTTGCCATGGACGCATCTCCACTACCACTAGATTTGTCACTTGATTGTGTAGAGTGTCCGTCCCCTAAGGGATTTGCTGTGATGCGTATACTACACTCCGACCCTTTATAGGTTGAGATTTGACTATTCCTATTGCTTGGCGCACTGCTGCAGCCAGATACAGGTCTACCCCTTAATTGACCCCCATTTCCATTACCCATATTGTTCCCATTGAAGTCCTCCTCTGGGACGAGAGTTTGTACGGGATGGGTATTAATAGCATTGCGCTCGAGAGTCTGGCTTCCAATCCAGACCCAATCAGGCGCCTGGGAAACCGACTCCGACGCTTCCCGTGGCATACGCTTGCGACGATATCGCACAACAAAAATCATACAGTTTGCTAGGAATACTAAGATAGCGACGCAGAATATGGCTAATAGTACATACATGCCTATCTCTAGGGGGGTGGGGGAAACTGGGCTCTGGAGGACCTGTTGATGAGCAACCCCAGGGTCCTCAATGGGGCTTTTAGGCAGACCCCCCAGGTCCAATTCTTTAAGGGAAATATCCTGGGACCCCTCCTTGACCCCCTTCCCTTTAGGCTTGGATTTATCGGGGCTTGAGGGCTTCACTTCCTTAATAGGATCCTCTTCCTTCTCAGGTTTGTGCCTTACTTCGTACCGATCACTTGGTCGATTGTCTATATTTTGCACTGCGCCCCTTTCTGATGTCTCGGAAAAATCAACATCAATGTGTACATAGCTTGTCGCTAATGACTTCGATTTCTTTTTATGGCATGTGTCGCCCAACTCCAAGGTGATTTTAATTAATTCTCCCTTGCCCTGACCAAGTGCGATAATCCTCGGCATGTCGCTGGAGAACATGGGACCAAACGTAATGACGTGGTGATTAAGGCTTAGCTGGTCAACAAAGTAATCCAGCGAGTCGACCTGACTTAAGGAGAGTAGAGTACCATCAGTGAATAAAATGGACACCTCTAGAAAAGCCTCCTGGAATGAAATAATGGAAAATCAGCAGGCGTAATTTAAATATGGTATTTTAAGGGTTAAATTATCATATCTCAGCTTGTCAATATGGTTTTTTCCTACAAAAGAAACTAGTCTATCTGGATATGAAATTTCTAAAATTGAATTTGAAAAAAAACTGAACATTTTTCAAATCTTTATCAAATTATGACGATATACAAGTGAGATTAAATAATTACTTTCATGATGAGCACAAATCACAATGATAAATGTAAATATGATATCGACTTGCTGCATTCTGTAAATAATCATTGTACATATAATATTTTTACATAGAAGTGACTACAATCAATATGTATAGGTGCCCCATTTGCCGTTGTTAACAGAGTCCTGTCATTTCAAAATACCTCAATATAAAGTATACCTGATTTTTATGAGATAGTGTGTGTTCACGATGGACCTTCGCTACTACTGCACCAGGGAGATCATGTGACTCCTCAACAGCCAATGAGATGCCAGTCACCATATTTATTTCCAGACGATCAATCATAACTTTATCATTTCCAACACGTAGCTCTCTCGCTCCGATGACTCTGCCATCCCTTGAAAGCACCTGTAAAATAAATAAACACATGTAAAATAAATAAATACATGTACAATAAACTTGAAAGCACCTGTAAAATAAATAAATACATGTACAATAAAATTGAAAGCACCTGTAAAATAAATAAATACATGTACAATAAACTTGAAAGCACCTGTAAAATAAATAAATACATGTACAATAAACTTGAAAGCACCTGTAAAATAAATAAATACATGTACAATAAACTTGAAAGCACCTGTAAAATAAATAAATACATGTACAATAAAATTGAAAGCACCTGTAAAATAAATAAATACATGTACAATAAACTTGAAAGCACCTGTAAAATAAATAAATACATGTACAATAAACTTGAAAGCACCTGTAAAATAAATAAATACATGTACAATAAACTTGAAAGCACCTGTAAAATAAATAAATACATGTACAATAAAATTGAAAGCACCTGTAAAATAAATAAATACATGTACAATAAAACCAGATGATGAAGAAGTCTGCTTCTCTAGAGAATAAGAGGCAATCTACTTCATTTTGGTACACTTCGCAAGGAATACTACTCTGCGACCATATAAGGTCAATATTATGATTATGTGTATAACACCTCTCTAAAACCTGTATCACACCAATCGTGGCTAAAGCTTGAATTACATTAGCTCTATGGTTGGCGTAGCTTAAAAAATCAATATAGAAAATCTTGACATCATACTGCTTTTATGCTGCATATTTCTCTTGAATTTGGGAAGCTACGGCTGCCATACGGTTGCATGTACCAGACGATCAATGATGTCCTATTGTTATTGCTCATATAAAATCTCACATACCATGGATATATCTTGAGAATAACTTTTGGGTATATTATTGCCGAAATATCGGAAATAATCAACAGAACAATCAAACTCCAGAATTAAACACAATCGATTCCTCCGCTATCGAGGGGAATCCTCATTTAGTCACAAGCGCCTTAAACCAGGCAGCCAATCAGGTTTATGATAAACAAATTCAACGACCAATCAGATAACAGGAGGACTTTCCCGGTATATTCAAACTTCAGATTGAATTAATTTCTTCGAAAATAATTAGATCAGCCAGCACAATCGCAAAATTAACATTGAAAGAGGGGGATTTGGGACTTCTTCTTTGGTAAGTAGATGGGTATATATGTGGTGAAACTCAATATGCAAAAAAGTCCAGAGGGGTCTTGACTGTGCTATCCTATGGCATAGAGCCTCTTTAAATATTATTGTTATTCAGATTCAAGGTGCGACCCTGTGCATTTCCCGATTCAAGTGAAGACCCCTTGCCAACATCACAACAAACAATGTCTGCTTAATTTCCCTCACGATGTTTATTGAACAAATATGTTATCAAATCTGTCTAGTTTTGGTTTGTTTCTAAGCGTGATTGTACTTAATACAGTATTATTATTCTTAGCCTTGAAATGTCAAGTAATTGACGGAATTCGTGATAATATGAACTGTTTACATCCACACGAAGGTACATTTTACAATGACATGAATGTATAGTTTACAATGACATGAAGGTCGCAGATGAAGGCCGGCTGTCATCATCAAAGCAATCAATGTCTTCAAACTTTCACTCAGTTTGTTTTAATTGAAAACTATTTTATATAAACACATTCAAGTTTCTTTTGTTCATTGAGACATTTTTTACGATAGCTGTTGTCTAGATAATTGAAATGTCATTAAAAGTATTGAATTCATGTGGACGCATATTGACATTGAATTTATTTTCCACAATGACATTCATTTAGATGTCGATAAAACCTCTGAATTTTTGCCTGCGCAGACTGTAAAAATATTTATTTTCCACAGCAACCTTAATAGAAAACTGTCATTTCATTATGCATTGTATACTTCGTATGCCAAGGTCTGCTACATGTAAAACTTGTACCATTGAGTCTGCCATATACGTGGAATTGTCCTTCATCATAAAAGTAATTATAAAATGTAGTCTACGCTACAAGCACCTATGACCCCACTCCTTCACACTACTTAGGGGGGGGGGGGGGGCAAAAACTTGTACTTAGACTACAGTAAACCCTGTCTTGAGTGAACACCTGTCTCTGGTGGACATCTACTGATTTCTGTACAAAATATCCTCTCTGTAGTGAACACCTACCAACAAAGAACCTTTTTGCAGCGAGAAAATGTTCACTGTACACAGGTTTAACTGTATTAAATTGTAGCTGTCCTATAATGCCTGTGTTATTACAGACAGAGGTGTTGGAACGGCCTGCTTCAACATAGAGATCAATAAGGCACAGAATTACTTCCCTTCTTTGAGTTTTCTTATTATGCTTGAGCACTCAACATTCATAGGTAGCAGTGACCTGGAGGCTTCACAGTGTTTTCTATTGATATTCTAATGTGGTTGTTTATGCAAGGATAATGGATCAAGGAAAACAAGACACATTCATTTTCTACATTATGTAGTAGCTGTTAAGCTGTCCCTTCAAAATACATATTAACGTGTTGATAATATAAGATTCTCACTCCAAAATATGAACAAAAATTCAGCTGAATTGAAGTATATTAAAGAAAGTTAGAGCATAAAGTGCATTACTTTTGGGACAACCCTCGTACATGTATATAAATCTATGTTACATATAGTGATATTTGTATGTGTGAATGATCTGTTTTATTAAGGATATTTCTCCAAAATAAAAAGTAAAATATGGAACACAGTGAAACCCATTTCATCAAAACACCGCTGCCACCAGCCAAAAGTGTTCAAATAGACAGGTGTTCATATTTTAAGTTTTTTACATGATAATCAATGGTAGAATAAGACAAGGCACCCCAAACATGCAAAATGTCAACACCTGCCATTTGTTACAGATTCTGACTGCCAAACACCAACAACTACTGACCACCAAACACCAACCACTGAACAATGTCTCCAAAAGAGTGGGAGACTATATAACAATATGTCACCACTTGGTACCAAGAATACTTTTTATATTCAGATATATGCAGATTAGAGAGGTGTTCATATATACAGGTTTTACTGTACATAAGGTGTCTTCATCTGGTCAAAGAAGTAACCCTGTATGACTCAGCATAGGAAAACAAAATTGTGTGTCAATGGGAAAACAACAAAATTGCGTGTCAATGGGAAAACAAGCACTGAGTACACTGATATGGCAACAACAAGAAGAATTAACCTATTAAATTATTAATGTAATATCTATCAGAACAGCAGCCTCAGGGGGTCCCAAGAGGGGTACTTGATATTAGTCCAGTATTTGATTTACACGATGATTGTAAATTGGATCTATTAGCTATATGAATATCCATCTGAATTCAAACACAATTTTTACTCATTTTCTTCAATTCATTATTTTCAACAACAAAAATGTTTGAAAGAGGTCCATAAAATCTAGCTTGATACTGACAAAAAATATTGAGTGGAATGGGATATCTGCATGACTATTAAGATACATTTGCATTAGCCAATATAACCAACATTAGTGAGTCATCCGGTAATGAATGCCTTTACACCAGAGATCCCTTTATACAGATCATATCACCAATGAGATTTTCAGTTAAATGTCAGGAGCATCCTTCAAGACCGGGCCTCGGGCCTCGCTAAGCACTAAGCTCGGTATGGAAAGAATTGAAATTCACGTGCACCAAGGATGGTCACTGTGTTTTTGCTCATAAATAGAAATTAATAGGGAAAAGTGAAATCAGCATTATACTTTAAACCAGAACAACGGCAACGCCAAAGCGTAGCGAATCCCATCGAACAGAGATAGCTGGCATTTTTACAAACGAATAGCAAATATCATAAAACAACACACCAGAAAGGCCACCATTTTCAAAATGGTTGCTCACTTGCCAAGGTGTCATCAGAAGAAATAATATGCTTTTAAGTAGCCACCTCTAAAATTTTTGAAAAATCGCACACGTACTTGTAAAATAACACACATAAAAATGGTGGCCATTTTTCAAAATGGCCGACTACTCCCCAAAGTTTTATAAGACAATGTGCCATGCTTACAGTATTCACATATCAAATATGAACAAAATCGCTCCACTACTTTTCGAGTTCTAGTAAAATACATTAAAATGGTGGCCATTTTTCAATTTTTTTTTCAAAATGGCCGCCTTCTCACAAAAATATCATAGGACAGTGTGCCATGCTTATAGTATTCACATACCAAATATGAACAAAATCGCTCCACTACTTTTCGAGTTATAGTAAAATACGTTAAAATGGGGGCCATTTTTCAAATTTTTTTTCAAAATGGCCGCCTTCTCACAAAAATGTCATAGGACAGTGTGCCATGCTTATAGTATTCACATACCAAATATGAACAAAATCGCTCCACTACTTTTCGAGTTATAGTAAAATACGTTAAAATGGCGGCCATTTTTCAAAATGGCCGCCTTCTACCAAAAGTGTCTTTAGACAGTGTGCAATGCTGATAGTATTCACATACCAAATATGAACAAAATTGCTCCACTATTTTTTGAGTTACAGCAAAAATCGTAAAATGACGAGTAAAGGCCGCCATTTTTCAAGATGGCTGCCATGCGCTTCTTTAATATCTACATTTGTAGCATAATTAATGTCCTTTATAATTTTTTTACATTTAAAACATATTGCTATTACAGTTTTACATATTGCACCTAAATTACTGTAAAATCGGCACTAAAATGGCCGCCATTTTGAAATGAGCGGCCATTTTGAAAATCGGCTTTCGAGCAGAACTTCTACCCCCATAGGGTATATGTGTACAAAATATGAACAAAATCGGGCCAACGGTATTTGAGTTATTGCCCGGACGGACGGACGGACGGACGGACGGACGGACGGACGGACGGACGGACGGACGGACGGACGGACGGACGGACGGACGTACGGACGGACGGACGGAGGCGTTCCCTATATCCCTCCGAACTTCGTTCGATGGGATAATAATGTAGGATTGCCATGAAATCAAATTTTCAATCAAATTTTAAAATGCAAAATAGAGTAGA